GCCCTTGGCCAGTCCCAAAGTTCAGAGCTGGCGGGGGGTGGGGTGCAAGAAGGGTCTGGGGGGAGCAATGCAATACCTAAAGTTGGGGGTTGTCTGTCAGAGCTGCAGGGGTGTGTCCAGATTCAAGTCCACTCCCACCGTCCACTGCATCTGCGCACGGCCCTTGGCCAGTCCCAAAGTTCAGAGCTGGCGGTGTGAGGGGGCGCGAGCCGGGTCGGGGTGGGGAGCAATGTGCGATACCTGAAGATGGGGGTAGTGGGTCAGAGCTGCAGGGGTGTGTCCCCGGGCGCCCTGGCCTCGTGGCAGCCGCCGCCGCCACCACAGCCGCCACCACAGCCGCCCCCGGCCCCGCCCCCGGCCCAGGCCGCGGAGCCAGACGGCGACGAGGTCCTGCTGAGGATCCCGGCTTTCTCCCGGGACTTGTACCTGCTGCTCCGGAGAGACAGCCGCTTCTTGGCGCCGCGCTTCTCCGTGGAGCAGTGGCCGAGGCCGGGCCCTGGGCCCACGGGGCCAGCGGCCGCCCCGAGCCCTCCCGCGCCGCCGGACTCCTCCTGCTTCTACACCGGCGCTGTGTTGCAGCACCCCGGCTCGCTGGCCTCTTTCAGCACCTGCGGAGGTGGCCTGGTAAGTGACTTCCTGCCTCCAGCTCGGCAGCTCCCGCTGCCACTCACCGACTTCCCCGCGCCGACCAGGCTGATTTGCATGCGCCTCCTCCCGGTTCCACGTGCTCTGGCGGAACTTTGTTCTGGTCGGCACCACCCAGATGCCTGGCGTGTTCACTTTGCATGAGAGAGCTCTTGGAAGCTGGGAATAGAAAGATGGGCTAAATGGCCCTTTCCTTTTAAAGAATTGTATGCTTCTTTCACGTTCTGTCTAAAACTGTAACTTCTTACAAATTCTACTACTTTTCTGTTTTCCAGAGCTTTACAATATCAGCACACCACGTGGTGGGTTTTGCTACAATACAAAATGGTCTGCTTATTACTGAATCTTCTACCTATTTGCCATCACCTCAGCTCCTCATCTCTTTCAAGGTGTTGCCCGCCCATCCCTTCAAAGTTATCAGAGCTTTCTCTATGGAATGACGCTCTTGACAGTGGTCCAGAATTTAAACACATCATCAGCTGTCCCTGGACACGGTTCACTAAGCTGAGATGAGATAGGATCTAGGCAGGAGCAAGCTGAAAGACAGTTGACCAATGAAGGACTTTATAATCCAATCAGGATCCAAAGAATTAGGCTTCTGTGGCTTGACATACATACCATCCTCAAAGTGTAAATTTTATTTGACAGCCATTTAATTTTCTTCTCTCCATTGGGTGGGGCAAAATGGCAAGTGTGAGAGCCTTGCTAAGAAGTAGGAAGGAAAAGTAAAAGCTCTCACTAAATAATGCCTCGATTCAGAAATTGGAACAATTGTTACTACCCCTTAGACTACAAGCAGTTGCCACTTTGCAAAGACTGAGGATCCCTGGTGGCTCCGTGGTTTTAAAAGGCTTATCTATTAACTGGAAGGTCAGTTGTTCAAAATTTACCAAATGTGGCAATCTTCCATAAAGATGTATAGCCCAGGAAAGCCTATGTTGTTACAGCTTACCATTGAGTCAGAATCCACTTGATAGCTTAGCTTCCACCGGGTTTTCAGAGGCAGTTTAATTGCAAAAGAAATTGTCCATCTTTCTACCGCAGAGAGCCATTGATGGATTCAAAACGAGTGTCTTTGGGGTTGTAGCTACACTCCTTACAACTAGGCCACCAGAGCTTGCTTAGGAAATCCTCGGAGGCAGTTCTATTTTATGCTCTAGGGTCCCAATGATCAGAATCAAATTATTGGCATTGAGTTTGAAAGAAATTAACTAATTTATAGCAAATTCTTAGTTACTCCCTCATTTTCTCTTCTTGGACATGCAACTTCGTATCACTGAAAAGACTTCAAGCTTTTTCCTGCACTAACCAAACTGAACCAATAGCTGTCTCATTAGGGCAAGGCTTCAGAGACTGCAAGTTTTTATGGAAGCAGGTGACACAGCTTTCTCTTGCAGAACAGCTGCTGTTCTTGTTATGTACTGTGGAGAAGTCAGAACCAATTCATAGCTGACCCTTCAGCGGATTTTAAGAGACAGCTAATCAATTGCACAGGAGGAGATTACTCATCTTTCTCCTGTCAAATAGCTGGCAGTGCAGCTCCTCTCCAGTTAAGCCATAGAGCCCCCTTGCAGAGCAGCTGATAGGTTCAGACTACCAACCTTTCAGTAAACATTGGAGTGCATTAACGACTGTGTCACCTGGGCTCCTTCTCTTGAACTAAACCCAAATCTGTGAAACCTTTGCTGCCGAGTCAATTCTTACTCATAGGAAAGCGTAGAATTGCCCCATGGGTTTTCCAAGGCTGTAAATATTTATGAGATCTCACTGCCACACACACCTCTCTCTTGCAGAGAGTATCTACTGCTTTGAACCATTAATCTTTTGGTTAGCTGCTGAGTGTTTAACCGTTGAGCCACTGGGTTACCATTCTTGTACTAACCAACTACCATTGATTTTGACTAGTAGGATAGAATTAAACTGCTCCATGAGGTTTCGAAGGCTGGAAATCTTTCTAGAAGCCTATTACCACTTAGTTTTTCTTCCTAAGAGTGGCTAGTAGGTTCAAAGCTACAATATTTAGTCAGCAGTTGAAGGCCGTGAGCACAGTGCCACAAGAGTGCTCTGCTTGCATTAGGTAAAGCTAAATAAAAAACATATGCACCTTTTCCAACTTAATTACAAATGCTATTTAAAAATGAACTTAGATTATGAAGACATACTTAGAAATAGATCTTGTTGGTAACCCCAACATTGCCTGCACTTTTGATTTAAGGCCAAGTTCACAAAATATGGAAAAATCAAATGCAAATACTCAATTAGTGGCTTCATTTTGTGGTTTATAGTGAGCCATTGAAGAAATCGCAATAATAAAACAACCAAAACCCAAAAAGTTTGTGTGGAACCAACCTGCTCATTTGGAAGAAAATCCAGTAGTGATAGGTGGGAAAAATATCAGCACAATAAAGGTACTTAGAGACATGGAATGGAAAAAGATAGCTAAGAATCCAAACAGAATAAAACTGGAAATACTTACCTTTGACCTCCTAGTTCCCATAGTCAAATGTTATAAATTTCTGAACGGGACTATGTTTTACCAGCTGCCCAAAATAATTAATATTAAAATATGACACTTTCAATTAATACATTTTTTAAAAAATTGGCATAGAATTACAAGACAAGTATTTAAAACTGTTTTCTCTAGAACTGATGTGTGAATGTCTCACTAGGGAAAATATTTCGTGGGGCTTTCATTGTCCACTGGTTTTTAGCTGGGGATTAAGTAATTACACATAGAATATTCCCGGTGTGGCAGGAGCAATAGGGGATAAAGCATTTCACTGTGTTGAAATGTGCCTTTGGGTCAGATTTTCCAAATGAGCTATGCCTTCTCTTCGTATTTAAAGAAGCAAAGTCAAAATTATGAGTGGGTTTTTCATAGTCTGAATAGGAGTTTGACATACCTGTTTATCATGTTGGATTTTTACTCACTTTTCCTATTAGCCACATATATATGTGTTCTGAACTGGGAAGTCTTTGTTATTGAGAAAAACTGACGCTGCCAGCAATACAGTATAGCAGTCAGACATGGAGTGAAAAAAGGTAGGCAAATAGCCAAGAAGGGGAAGTTGTTACTCCAGTCTCTGTAATGCCAGTCGCCTTTCCTCTTGAGCTGGTGAATTAGGAAAGAGAGGGCTTTGTTTGTTATCGGGACTGTGACATTAAACTTGTTTTCTTTTTTTCAGTTTTTATAAATGATGTGAAAGGATTTGTTAATTTTATTAAAAATCATGGCTATAATAGAGATTCTATTGAATGTTAAGTGTATCCTAGGTACTGTGCTGGATAATGAGGATTCCTGTCTTTCAGACAGGAGAAGGACATTTTATACAAGTAGATATGTAAACAGGATATGTAAATAGTTTATACTTGTCTACTAATCTAAAAGATAGCTGTTCAGACCCACCCAGCACTACCATGGAATAAAGGTCTGGCAATCTGTTTCTGTAAAGTTTACAGTCCCAATAACTTTGTGGAGGATTTCTACTCTGTAATAATACATGTATTGATGTGAGTTGGACTTTACCGCAGCTGCTTTAGTTGTGTTTCTTTTTCTGACACAGTGGCTATGAAATAATAATATAGCTGCACAAAGAATCAAACATTACTTGCAATAATGTAATTTGTAGCTGCCTTTGAATCAATTACAACTCTTGGTGACTCCATGTGTGCCCAAGTAGAACTGTGCTTCGTAAAGTTTTCAGTGGCTGATTTTTGTTATGTGCCATCGAGTCACCTCCAACTCATAGCAACCCTATGTACATTAGCATTGAAACTTGCCCTATCCTGAGCAAAGATGATAATCTTGTTATCTCACACAGACCTAATCTTATTCTTCTAGTCACTGAGTCAATCTATCTCATCCTGGGTCTTCCTCTCCTGCACTATCCCATCCACCCTTCAAATAATGATGTTCTTCTCCAAGGACTAGTCCCTTCTGACCACATGACCAAAGTATGTGAGATAGAGCCTCCAAATCCTTGCCTCCAAGAAGCAGCCCAGTTTCACCCTTTCCAGGACAGAGCTATTTATTCTACTTGCGGTCCCCAGGATGTTCAATACTCTTCTCCAGCACCACAACTCAAAGACATTCATCTTTTTTCTGTCATCCTTAGTTATTGTCCAGCAGGCGCACCTTAGTCTCCAGATTGACATTGTTGCTCTTCAGTACTCTAGAGAGGTCCCTGATACCCGATGCAATTTGTGTTTTGATTTCCTGACTGCTGGTGCCAAGAGTGTTGATTGTGGAACCAAACAAGTTGAAGTTATCAACAATCTCAATCTCTTTTCTGTCCATCATAAAGCTGCTAATTGGCCCAGTAGTGAGAATCTTTGTTTTCTTAATGTTGGGCTTCAATCCTTGAGCCTCTGCAGCAAATGTCTTATGTCCTCATCAGTTTCAGTAAGCAAGGTTGTGTCATTTGCTAACATTTGATACATCTTTCTTTAATCCTGATGCCACATTCCTCCTCATAACATTCTGCCTCCCCAATGATCTGCTCCACATATAGATTGAAAAGGTATGGAGATAGGATGCATCCCTGATGCACACCTTCCTGATCCTGAACCATGCAGTTTCCCTGCTTTGTTCTGACTGCTGCTTCCTGGTCCAAGTATAGGTTTCACATGAGGAAAATTAAGTGTTCTGGGATCCCTATTCTTCTCAAGGTTAGCCACAGTTTATTGTGATCCACACAGTCAAATGCCTTTGCATGGTCCATGAAACAGCATTAGACACTCCTGTGGTACTCTCACCTTTGGTCCAAGTCCCATCTAATGTTGGCTGTGATGTCCCTAGTGCCACAGCCTCTTCTAAACCCAGCCTTGCATTATCGGCAGTTTCTGCTGATACACTGTACCAGTCTTTTGGATAATCTTCAGAAGAATCTTACTTGCGTGTAACATTAGGGATATTGTTCAATAATATCCACACTCTGTTGGGTCACCTTTTTTTGTGGGAGTAGATCCCTAATTTTTCT